TAGTTGTTTATGTAATTAAATCTTATTATGACTAACATATTCTACTCTATCTGTTGATTATAATTATTGATACACATTTGGGAGACCATTTTTCCTAGTAAAAATGGTCCCATCTGGACCATTCGCCCTAGCTATAGGACAATATTTCCTATGTGTTAGATGTCCGGCGGGCCAATTGCCCTAGGGTAAATGGTCCAGGGACCAAAATCCCTTAGTAAAAATGGTCCGGGGGACATTATTTTAGGGGGACCTACATTACTTCTACAACGGCTATGGCATTAATGGGGGAAATAGGGATCGAAATCAGCCATAGTTTTCTCCTGATGACCATTGTGAATTGTTGTGTTTTATGGATTATGATGACGGCTTTGCGAACGGATGTTGACCCTTTGAATTGCCTATGAACTTCGAGACTGGATTTATATATCCCACATCATTTGAGACTGAAAACTCTTATGAGTACTAGTATCTACAACTATTTTTGATGTTATGAGTATTGGCTATCAATTTTTTCAATTTTTCTTCAACATGTATTGTAATGACTTCAGTATGAATGAAATGTACCTTGGTGTTCTGGTCCTGGTTTGTGATATTGGTTCTCGATTGGAGGGGGAGGGGAATGTTAGACATTGTTTCTTTTCACGTTAGATCATGGTTTTGGGATATATAGGGTCTACTTTTCTTATGACAGATTTACACTTACAGTTTGCTTTTCTTGTTGGCTTTCTTTAAAGTTTTTAGTCACCCTTCCCTTTTGCATTTGTGCTTATAATATATTATAGTACAGTGAATACGAAAACGGATAGGCTACAGTTCCTATCTATATCATATACCAACTGGTCTGTTGGTTAATACCAAATGTTCACGTTTTATTTGTAATTATTGTTATTTTTATTTTTGTAACCAGTATGCAAGCGTTTCTAGTCCTACCGAAATAAGAAATTATGTCTGACGGACATAGTCCCTAATAAGATCTCCATCTTAATCACAATGTGCGGATATTAAAGATCTAATAGCAAAGGTTTTGCAAAAATGAATCAATGTAGTATAAAACAAATGTATATATAATGAAGAAATAAATATATAATGAAAAAAATAGATATGTGTTTGTAATATTGGTATTAACTTAAGATTAAAAAGTGTCACAATCTTTTTCATTTTTCAACAAATATAGGCTCACGTGACATGTGACGCGGGGCAGGCAATTTTGATCTATCGTAGACCTTATCAGTATCAAATTGCCGATATTTCAACCTCGTCTTGCGAGGCCATTTTGATTTGAAACATTTTGAATTTGGTGTCAAAATAAAGCTGGTCACGCCCACTTTCAGAGTTATCAATGAATCATTTACTACGACTACTATATTCATTTAGGAGGCGTGTAAAGTTAACCAATCAGAAAGACAATTGTTCCATATATGGCAGTTCATTAACATATTCAGTGTTTACTACTGCTTGTCGCGTCATGACAACACGAGTAGTAACCAATCAAGATGCCGTGTTTTATCACGCCAGTTCAGAGTGACATGCACACCGGCATGTAGTCTGAGCTGATCACGATGTTGAACTAATTTCTTCTCAGAATTTGTCCAGAGAAATCAGCGATTCTAAATTAAGGTAGGATCTGCCATTTATTCCTGTACAAGTTATAACTTATCTCTATTGAATCCTAAAGTTTTAGCTACAGATATGAAGCATACGTTTTAAAACGAAGCGATTAATTTGACGATCTGATTTTGCAATTTGCAATGGCCAATTTACTGCAAGTCTGCGTGCATTTGACAAGAGATAGCGCCAAGTCTTGTTTCTAAATGGTTGTTAAGCCACTATAAAATAAGATCCATATGTTCACAATTTGATAACTTTGCAGAAAACCTGTTTTCATAACCTGTTTTCCGCGTCTAAATTCAAACTGAGTAGGATAATAGGATCGCTGGGATCCTCAGTCAACAACGGATCTTCAATTCAGAACTCACATTTTTAGTTGATTCTCCGTCATAGTACTTGTCTAAAGTCCCCATATCTGCTCTCTTACTGTAACTTACTGGTATACTTGGACACATTTCCCCTCCTGAAATATTGTCCTCAGTCAAATTACACCCTCTCGCCGATTTATATAGCCATTTCCCAGAACGTCCCGGAATCAGAATCGCTGATGTTTGCCATAGTGAACATGTTGAAATAGGTACTGTAATATCTGTAATACAGTCGAAATGTTGAGGCATGCGCAGACCTCTATTGAGTGATATTTTCATTTCAAATATGGCGGCCAATCCGATGTCTGACGACCCTTACAAAGAATCTAGGCAGTTTGCATTTTTACCTCCTGTGAAATAACAAGTGGAATTTAGTAGTTGTTTTGTGTTTTATTATCATTCTGCATCGTAATTCTATATGATGTGGTGTTGAAATGTCAGCAGAAATACATATCCATACGATAATCGAGTGAATCAGATAACAGATTTTTCGAAAACCCGTCTCGTGCTAAGAGTGTAAAAACTTGTATTAACATGCTCAAAGGTGCCAATGTGCACATCAATGTCAAGCTAAATCAATGTTGTGTCTAAAACAGGTACCCGATCTACTCAAAACAGCTTGTCATTCACGTATACACGCTTAGCAAACACGGCGAAATGACCTGAATCTTGGAATTTCGTTCGAGAGCTAGTAATGTTTGCTCCGGTCTTCGTCATAAGTGTTCATCAGACTTCACGCATGCGCAGGAGAAAAACCATCAACCAATAAGGTTTATAAATCAATTTTGCGCATGAGCCTTACAACGGTAAAGAAATTCGTATTTATAAACGAACCAGTTTGCGATAACCTGATATCAGTCGGAGAAATCTGACGATCTACGAAACTCACTTCAAAAAATCAAATGCGGACTGACGGCGTATTCTACTATGTTTGGATCTAAGATTTTCAGTTTAGATAAAGTCTTTTATGATCTTTCGAATGAGGTAAGTCTCTAGTTCGAAAGACAATCGTATCAACTTGAACAAATGTTGAGTTTTGACGAAAAATTTTAACATGCGCAGAAGTCCCATTTTCGTTGTACCATATTGACTGAATACAGACATTGCCTGCTACGCGTAATGGTCACGTGATTAGCGCGATACAGGAAAAATGGGGAATTTCAAAACAACAATTTTTGGGCACTTTTATTGCAAATTTCAGGTATTTATAAGTGTTTGTGGTATAAAATATAATCCACAGACATAAATGAACATCCAAACTACATATTTTATTAAGTTTTGGAGCCTTTTTTGCTCTTAAATTAACATCTTTAAAGGTCATTTCTAAATTTGGATTCGTGATATTTCACCAACTAAGGCATGTCCCTAATAAAAAGGGAATTGTGTAAATAGGTGTGTAGCTCATTCTATAGCGACGCATAAAGCAATTCTCTCTCCAAAGCAAATGATTTTAAATTTCAGCTTTTTCACAGCGTAAACAGCATTCATTCAATATTGGTGATCGAGATGACCTATCAATACAAATTATATTTGCATTTTGAAAGTTGAAAGGTTTCTATGTAATTTTATACAAAATGGGAACATTGAACAAAAAAGTGCTTCCTCTAAACAAGCGGAGTGGATATTAGGATCGTTTGTTTAGAGGTAGCACATATCCGATGAATGTTTTCAATTTTTAAAAAATGTCCACAGAAAGTTTATGACTTTCAAAATGCAAAAAAATGATTTATATCGATTGGTCATCTCGATCACCTATACTGAATGAAGGCTGTAAACTGTGTAATAAAGCAGCAATTTCAAATTCTTTGGTATGTAGCTATTTTAAAGAATGAAGAATACAACTATAGATAAATTTCCTTTTTATTAGGTATCCTCTACAATGGATGACTATAATTGAGTACCCAACATCCCTTTGTTTATGAAATATCACAAATTCAAATTCAAAAATGACCGTTAATATCCGAACCTTGAGCACATGATATCCACACCGCTTGTTTTCGTATAGCACTGTCTGTATAGGGTGTTAATAAACCTTGTTTTATTTAGATAAAAGTGTTTATAAAGGCTAACAGTGGTAATTAATCACTTGCATTTGGTTCTATAGCAGCCTGATTCTACACTGCATCAATAGCTCATTAAATAAAAGTCAAATGTGTTAACCTTTTATAATTGTTCAAAACTCCGATAATTGATTCACGTCTCTTGTTTCACCAAATGTTATCGTTTTAAAACAAATTGCAAATATTTATTGAATCCAGATTATCACTGTTATCTTTACCCCATCAAAATTCACTTGTAAAAATAGTTTAGTACTTATTCATATCTAGGCGCGTAGTGTTTCAAAATATTCCCCTTTGTGATCTACGTACGAAAGTGTTACCAAAGTGAACGAACTTTGTTGGATTTTAGATCTTTGGACAAATTAGATAATGCCATGGTTACCCTATTGCATCACCCAAAGCTATATGGTTGTAAAATTCATATTTTTCAAAATGCTTTTTAAATAAAAATCGTGAATCAACGAGAAGTTGTAGCAACATTTCACTGATGAAATATCCGTCTCAAATTTTATTATATAAAACTCTTAGTTCTCGAATAATTAGTTCAGGACGTATTGGACAAGCCTCGTACATATCTCTGTGCGCAGAGATCGCACCGTTATAAAGCAGACGGTATTTTGAAATAGAACAATCCCTCATTCCTCATGTAATTCTTAAATATTTTAAATATTTGACTATCATCCGATAAAACATGCCATTAAGCAATGCAAATCACACTTTTCCAGTTTAATTAGATTTGATATTACAATGTGATTGGATAATAAAAAATTGCAGCATTGAATCTATTCACGAAATAAAGGCACTTGGATCATGTTCATATTAATAGGTTTTAGGTTTTATAATTTATTTATGTCTCACGCTAAAAATGATAAAATACACAGTACATGCTAAAAACTTTAAAAACGTTAAATACTTTTTATTTAAAGTTGTAAAATCTAAAATTAATCAATAAAATACTTTTTGCGATTTAAAAGCATATTGTTTACAACCTTAGCTATTAAATGTTCGTGTGAGGTTTTCATTTGTCATGAGAGTACAGTATTTACCCAAACTAGCTATAGATAGCATGTGGCTTTCTCAAATAGGTTAATTCTTTAAGTTTGATGAAGTGAACAGTCCGCGAGAAAGTGTATCTCGTCCTCGACGATGTCACGCTCACATAAACATGTTCGTTGGTTAATGGGGACACCAGTGTATCTACCAGTTTCAAGTCTCAGTGGCAGTGTACCCATTCTGAGTTTAGCTAGATTGGAGCGTTCATATATATTAAGGCTAATGCGAAGATAGTGTTCGGGTTCTGTTTTGTGTATCTTGTGGAGTCGATATGTCCTAAGTTTATTTCCGTTTTCTTGGTTCCTAGAGTCGTTCCATATGGAGTTGTGCCAAGCTATATGCCGTTTTGAGATTAGGTCCAATTTATACTTTTTAATTTCATGTTTTACTGATGGGATGTAGTCATCTGTTATGAAGTGGTTTGCCTTTTCACGTTGCAATTCTAGCTTAATCTTAGAGTCCCATGATCGGGTCAGTCCAGCAGTTGTGGATCCGTTTTGTGATTCTGTCGTTATTCATGTTTTTAAAACGACACCACTGCCTGGCCTTTTCGACTTTTTGTCGCACATTCGGGTCAGTCCAGCACATGTCTCCACGTGTTGCATCGTTCGGTGCACATTTACCAACTCCCATGTAGAAATGTTCTGCTTTGTTTTGTATTTTAACTGCTGGCGCTCCTGAGGTGACGTTTGCACTCCATGTGCCGGCAGCGTACAACAGAATTGGCTCGACCATCGAGTCGTAAAGCTGGGTATAAACATTGTAGTTCATTCCTCCTTTTAGACGGAATTTTGTCATAATTGCTCCTAGGGCACACGTGGCTGATTTGGCAAGGATGGATACCGATTTAGACATATCCATGTGCTCATTTAAGGTAAGTCCTAAATATTTGTATTGTGTTGCATATTCAATGACATCGTCACCACATCGAAACACGAATTGGGACCGCATGTAATCCTTTGGACGATGGTGGATAATGTTCGTGTTCATAGCATTAACCGTCATCCTCCATTTGCAGCACCAAGTATTCATGGTATTTAGCATTTCTTGAAGGTTTTGCTCTGTTGGAGCTACAGGGTGCTAAAAAAAACGCAACCCAAAGAAATCGCGATATCTTGGAAAATACTAATCCAATTATGTTCATATTTTCAGGAAAGAAAGAAGAGACTGTGTATGTATATCCCCTGTTGTTAGTTAGTTGAAAAACATGATGTCTTGGACACTTGCTCAAAAGACAATTGTACTAGCAAAATACGAAAAACGCGAATGGAAAATAACTATATCTTGGAAAATACTCATTCATTTATGTTTATTTTTTCAGGAAAAGAAAGAAGAGACTGTGTATGTATAGCTCCTGTTGTCAGTAAGATGTAAAACATGATGCCTTGGACACCTCGTCAAATGACAGTTGTACTAGGAAAATATAAAAACGCAGTCAGAGGTGACTGCCACAGCAATAAAACCAAATAACTTTCTAACCATGGTGTTTTGACACTTCAGATTTGGCACAAATTATCCTCATTCAATGTTTGGTAAATTTGTCGAGTTTCATCAAAATCACTCCAGGGACTTTATAGTCATGGTCAAAATGCCTTCTTAAGTCTCCCTGAACCAGGGCATTTGAAACCATTTCGACCATGACAGTGAAGTCCCTGAAGTGATTTTGATTTCACTTTACAGATTTATCAAACAGTAAATGAAGATGGTTTGTGCCAAATTTGAAGAGCCAAAACACTATGGTTAGGAAGTTATTTAATTTTTTTGCGGTTGCAGTCACCCCTGACTGCGTTTTTCGCATTTTGCTAGTACAACTGTCTTTTGAGCAGGTGTCCAAGGCATCATGTTTTACAACTAACCATTAACAGTAGCTATACATACACAGTCTCTTCTTTATTTTCTGAAAATATGAACATAATTGAACCAGGATTTTTCAAGATATAGCAATTTCTTTGGGTTGCGTTTTTTTTGAACACCCTGTATCAAGGCAATGTCGTCCGCGTAAAGCAAAATTCCGATATTTGTGCCATCAACAGGAACTCCCATATTTACTATTATATTAATAGTAAATGTGGAACTTTTGGGTTCATTTTGAACATAGGAAAAAGCACATCCGAATTAAGCAAAATGCAGTGTTTCAATAAATATTTACTTCCGTTTTTTCGACTTATGTTTAAACATACAAATACAAATATATACAGTGTGACGCATAGCGTTTAAAATGTTTACCAGATCCTTACAGATCAAATGTTGGGGGGACAACTGAATGCTTTTCAATTGAATTATGAATACTTAAAATGCTTGAGAACATTGGAACATGTCTTAGTTATCCCAGCTATGTCTTCTGGACTGAGGCGTTCGCGCCATTTATCCATAGTGTAAGATGCATTTTTGCATAAGGCAAATGGTTGACTGTCTGACAAAGTTTGTGTCATATTCGGACAATTAGTATTCAAATTCAACCAGTCAAGCATCTCTGGTTGTGACTCTCTATCCAGAAATTCGTCAATTTTTTCTATTGTGTTCTTTGGGTCGTTGACAACATCCTCGTATCTCACCTGGAAAATAACATTATTCTTATTTCCTTAATTACAGTTTTATGAATATCATCACTGGGTGGCAATAATAACTAGATGTTGGCAAAAATCTAATTACCAACGTCGTATGCCAGCATAGAATTAATAATCAACATAGTATGACAATTAATTACAAACGTGGTGTGACATTGTAGAGTACACTACCATATTGTTACATAACAATTTGCTTTGTTGCAACCGTGAAACTGCATGTACATTTGATTATCATGCATGTAACGTATTTTTATAAGTCTAAGATGTTTTTCATTGTTAAAATCATACTCCATGGTAGTAAGAAGTAATTCCCTAATGACTAGAAAATGTGAAAATCATAAAGCATGAGACATAATCTGAAGATTCTCTTACTTTGGGGAAATTGTGAACAGAAACGAAAAAAGGAAAAACAATCAACAAACAAATTGATTCACCTGTAGTATCCTCCTAGCAATATGCAGAGGTTGTCTTGAAGCAACTAGAATGTCGTTCCAAATCAGTCTACAGAGTAAATCAGACGACTCTACAAGGGTCATTCTATCCTCAAATGCAAAAGATGTTACAGTGTCGACCCTGGAATTCTGAATACCTCGAGGGTCCCTGATATAATGTATCACTTTAATGTCGGAATATCTTTCCAAGAGCGTTACAGCAGTCTTCATGTTCATGCGAATCAATTTATAAACTCTTTGATTAGATTCTGAGCAATTTTTTCTCAAATCGTCAGTGCATCTTAACAAACGATTCCATTTGAGCTTCACCTTTGAGTTATATGTGTTGAAATGTTGCATTATAGTTGTTCTGTTCTTTTTGCCTTGGTGTAGTGAAATATCGTCATAGACGTCTGGGTTAACACACTCTGGAGGAATATCATTCATATAGGTAGACCTATCACAATGACTATAGGAAATGTTGGGCCATTGTTTGAGCCCATTCTGTTTTATGCATTGTTTGTATGACACTGAATGAATTGCGGGTAGTGGACCGTCACTTTTAAAGTTCTCAATATGGACAGAGTTGTAGTCGCAGTTAAACATTTTGTTAAGTGTCTCCACTATATAGTTCACTTCGTAATCAGGCGCATCACTGCCAAAAAACAACAAAAACACATAAACTCAAATGAGCCATACAAGAAATAAGGTAAATACGGAAAAACGATATCTAAGTTGCAGAATTTAGGAATGTTTTCAATGATATTAGGTGTATTTCTCAGTTTTGTTGAGTAAAAGACGAAGGAGTTTAAGACGATTCACCCAAAATAAAGTGGACATTCTTGTCAATGCCAATGTCGCCTACCGTATCGTTCCATTAGCGAAGGCTCTAATGCTCCATGGCGGCACAGTCACACCCCCATACATATGAGCATAGACTCCAACAAGCGGCTCGAACAGATATTGGGTTTTAGGGTATGTATGGAGTAGCTCTCCAAAGAAAGATGTCCCCCCTCTTTTATATCCTAATACGATAACCTTTGTGACACCTTTCATTGGTTTAAACTACACAAAAAATAAAATGAATACCGTAAATATTAAATTGAAATTGAAATACAATTTTAGATTTTATGCATGTTTATTTCACCAATGAAGTCAAACCTTACTTCGTCATCTGTTCCATGAGCTGCCTCGACTCCTTGGGAAGCATCAACGTGTGTTTCAATGGTTAGGTGATCCGAGGCTACCAAATTTCTTGTGCCATCTTTGTCTAGAAATAAATACAATGTCTTGTACTTCTAAGATATCCTTAATTGATGACTCAAATCTTTATCATAACAAAAGCAGCTAACCCCCAAATTAAGAAGCAATTATCCAAGATATTAACTAATTTTCGATCTCTGTTATTTTTATTATATTTCAGTCATGTTTGGTCTAGAATAGAGAAATATTTACGGCGATCGTTGAAGATTGACGATCAACGATTGTCCCACGGACACAATACGTACGGCTTATCCAAGATTTTACAGGTCGTAGGATCGCCGTGGAAATTTTAACACGGAGGTATATTTTTTATGTCTACGTTCGCTAGCAGTATACATAGAGGCAGTCTTACCTTAACTGACCAATTGTACATGTACACACAAAAAGCATCAATCGTCAGATCATAATGTAGGCCTTAAGCATTTTTAATTACATGAAATGTAAACTGGCTCTAGTAAAAGCCATCAAGATAAGTTAAATGTGACAAATTTGGACGTGAATCTAAAGAGATCTTCTCAATTTGCACTTTCTAAGGTGAATTTGCACTTTTTGTAGTTGAATCATTTGTTGAACTCTTATATCTCTAATCAATTTCAATAAAGAGTAAATCAGCAGAGTATAGATTTGTTTATGAATGTTTCATGAATGTCAAAAATGTCGAATCTCAAATTTGAGATTTGAAATACATACTCCTGGAAATCAGATGAATTAAAAAATATTGGTTAGCAGGTTAAAACGTGACCTTTTCAGAGTTTTTCAGTCTACGAATTAGCTCACTACTTACTAAACGCCCTGTACTTTCGGAAATCTGGTGCAAATCTTTTATTAATAACAATTGATATGTAATAGGGAGCCGTTCAATCATAACTTGTCCGGAAGATTTGAAAGCAAAACATTCTAATTTGCAGTCCGACCTTGAGAAAATTAGAAAATCGGCGACCACATCTTATCATCACCTCGATTTTCAAGCATATACGATATGTAAAATAAGACTTGAAATTGAACAAGGTCATAATAAACGGTCATCCGGAAGTCGGATTACAATTAATTTTTCAGATTCGGCATTCCGTTAATTTGTTTTGCATCTACTTTTGTACACGAGCATCTCAGAATAAGAAACTACAAAATCATACACTTATACTTTAATCTACCAGTGTTTCCAATATATCGGAGGAACATTGAAGTTTAGTGCTGTACAAATGTTAAAATATATATATATGTTGTATAGGTACAGTGACAATAAATCTATGCATATAGCCGCCATGACAAACTAATTAAAAATAAATCTTCACACATACCTGCCAGGGTAAATAGTACAAGGATACAAAACGCTGTAGCCATTACAGTAAACAGAATAATCTTAAAGACGTTCTGACAGTCAGCATAACTAATTGGCCTCCCATTTGCTATCATATTGGTGCTCGTCTCTCTGAAGATGGCTAGACGGAAATATCTTGTCCAGTAGGCCGGCCTATGATGTACCTATTCCTATATGTTTGAAATGATAAGTTTAGTTCTTAAGTAAGTTGTGTATGTTGGTCAGCTGTATTGTAGGTGTCCTTCATCATGTTGTTTCAATTGATGAGAAGAATATATCCCATCAATTATATGCAGCCATCGTGTAAATTTCACTAATGGGACTTCATGAGTTGTTGTGGTTATGAATGCTACAATCATAGATACCATGTGTGTTATAGCCGTGAGTTTTTAAAACATCGTTATAACCATCGAAACTTAGACAGCATTTTCATTATTTTTCAAACAATCGATAGGTTAACCTTTACTTAATTAACGTTTTAGAATACACATGTCCTGCAAACACATTTTGTTAGCTTTGAATGCTACAAACATGGGATCTTCCAATAGATACATAATTCCTAGTTTAGCAGCCGTCATTTTTGTACTCATCGTTTTCTCAACTATATTGGAACGGGACTTCTCCCCAGATCGAATGAATCATAAAAACGTTATCCAGGATAGCAGGCCGAAACGGATAAGTGCAATACATTCAAAACAAGATGCAGATGTAATACAAACTGATGAAACTACAGAGTTAAAAACTGTTGTTGTTGACAGTGAGTCAAGTGATATAGTGAATAATAATGAGTTCAAAGCTGTACTGGAGATTACGAAAGCAAATGACAGAACATTGAATGAAGCGTTGCACAACATTAGAGTAAATGGAAAGGATGTTCACAACTTTTTAGACATAGAGAAAATAATACATACTGATTTCTATAAAAACCTTTCCAAGATTTCACGAAAATGGAATGAAAAAAGAGTAAACACATTGACGTTAACTGGACCCTATCTAGCCCAAATATTCAACTGGCTCGTTAGCGCACATTTGCGACTTAAGGAACCAATTGGAACGACACTATTAGTAACACCAGATAAAAAATTGAAACACTTTCTAGACAACAGAAACATCGACTGTATTTGGGTAGATACGTCTGAGTTTATGCCTTCCCTTTTAAGCGAAGATTGTAACTTCCCGAAGTGTATCTGGCATATTCGCCTGATGGTGTGGCGGTCGTTAAACCACCTTGGGTTTGATGTGGTCAACTATGATAGCGATGCCTTGCCACTCCTTAACCCAAATCCACTTTTTAATATGTTTCCAAAGAGTGATATCATAGGAGCGAAGGGAAATAAGAAAGGAGTAATTAGTCAAACATGGACTTTAGCACTCAACATGGGATGTGTGTTATTTAAGAGCTCCCTGGAGAAATGTAAGATTGCTTATTTGTCTTTAGTTAGCGCAGTTGTGACGAGTGACCAGAAAGTTCACATTTAAGCTACCCTGTACTATGTTTATAATTTCTTCTTTGATTTCAGCGTCATTTTGGGAGTTTGGTCACAACTATACGAAGACACTGAATTCTCTGAACACTGATCAAGGAATAGTGAACTATATACTTTACGGAATGAATACAACTAGGTCTAAATCCATCACCAACCTATGTAGTGGTCCCACGTGCTCTGATTGGGTTTGGGAAGGGACTGGAAATAATGGCCTAAAGGTGACAATTCTGTCAAAAGAATTGGCGTGCAGGGCTGTTGCATGCAAGACTGCAGTCAACCTAAGCACTGTTACCGTGTGGCATCCGTCTAAGAACGCCGATTCAGCCGGGGATGTATGGTTTCTTAAAAATGACTGGCAGAGACATCTTTCTGCAGCTGACCCATCAGTTCCATTTCTATCCTGGCTTTCTAATATTGCAAACTTTTCATCATTTGATTTGTCAACCTTTAATCATACGCTTTGATAACTACAGCTATACATGTACACATAGATGTCAGAGAAATCCAAGTTCATATGTTATTGCATTTTTGAATTATATCACTTTTGTCACATTCATCCAATCAAGTCAATAATTATATTGATATAAACCAATAGAGCTGGCCAAAAAAGGTCACAGAAGAAGACGCTTATAGTAAAATCAGTCCTTACAAGTTACGGAATAGAGTTAAGAGTAGGAATAGAAAAATTGTCACAAGTTTATTTGAAAACATTTTAGCTAAACAGACGTTTCATCGACGACCCAGCTTTACTCAGGGGCAATTGAAGTCCAAGTTACTATTATAATATTGCTTAACCGCCACTACAGTTTTTAAAGCTTTGAGACGTGTACTATAATCACATCGAGAGTTCATGTCTCCAAAGAATCGAACAGGAATATGTTCACGCCACTATGGCTATAAGTACAGGGTGGTCCGAAAATGGGACACTAGTATTTCAAAAATAAATATTGTTTTTATTGATGAAAATATCCATATCAAATATTGCGTCACCCTCGCATCAAAACGGTGTCCCAAAACTTGCAAAAAGCATGTTTTTGTCAAATGTACTCCAGATGTTCGCAAATATGTACATTTTATTAAACATATGATACTGATACACGTTTGTGGTTAAAATGTCGTGGGAATTCTGCCTACAACGTGTAAAATAAGGAAAAAAGAAAAATCGTACCTTCGACGTTCCGACATTTTGTTACCGAATACTAGCGTTATCGAGTAGATCACCATTGTAAACTGGTCAATAGCATCATAGATATGCTGTTGAGACGATGAATTCCACTTCTTAACAATTCTGTCCTTAAGGGACTGAATAGATGTAGGGGGTTCATGGTTAACCAATTCTGTTAGTTTTACCCATACATATGGTAGTCGCAGATTTTGGCATTAGGAGCTAGGCAAATTCTCCTTAAAACATTTGACTGTCTTCTGAGATCTTTGGCGCGGAGCCTACTCTTGTAAAATGTTATGATCCGGAAATAAGCTCAAATCAAGGTGTTCCAAACCAAAAACAACAGAACTGGTGTAGGCTTACCATGAACATCCTTGGTCCAAGAGTATTTCAGTTTATTCCAGCTGAGACACTGATGCCTCCATGACTTTGTTCTGAGAAAAAGTGACGTCATTTGTATTATGGACGCTGGTTGACAGACAATATGATAACTTTAGACTTATTTTGTACCAAATTAAAGATAATTAAATTCCCCGTCCACTGGTATACAAAATGACATGTTTTCATTGCACAGAATTGGTCGAATAGCCGATAGATGTCATTCATTGATTAAACATGACGTCATATTTGAGATCTTAAGATAAATCTGACGTCATGACGTAAGTGCCATAGAAACTGAGATTGTCTTATTTTATTTTGACGTCATTCCAATGTAATGAACCAGTTATATCACCAAAAGTTATCATATTTTGTTTGAAATTGGCCGAAAAGTTAAAGGTATGAGGATTCTAATCTCAACGGAATCAAACAGATCTACCTTCAAAGTTACAGAAACCCGAGATGACTAAGATACCATATGATTTTAAGTACCTCTACCAGACCTCATTTCACCATTTTGACGCCATTTCTAATGGATTTCAATGGAGTCATGCATGAATTCCTCATGATTTTTTCAAAACAAATTGGCCGAAAAGTGTGCATGTGTACATTGCTTAAAACATGTTAAATCAGTAAAGGTTGATGTCTAGTTATAGAAACCTGAGATTACTAAGGTGGCAAATCAATATCATTCGCACAGTAAGCGTTCGAAAAATGTCTCCATTATAAATCCCATAGGCTTTGGAAAACCGGGAGTAATGGTTCTGCGCATGCGCAGTGAAATATTGGACAAATTTTGTGCAATGCATCTAATAAAATCAATATTTATTTCTGAATACGAATGTCCCGTTTTGTGGACCACCTTGTACATGTACATCAAAATGTCAAATGAAAGATGAAGTACTTATCCATCTGTCGTAAATACAAGGACATTAAACTCACCAGGTTATATGATAAACCGTTTCGAGAATTGATGATTTGAGTTAACTGTGGATATTTATAAAAAAGTAAGTCGGCATGTATTCGACAGTTAATGTACACACATGATGTATGCATCAACGTGTGACTTAAATATCAATTCGTGACTATCATATTTGGCTTTCAAAAATTAAGTTACAGTGGTAAGAGATTAACGAAAACGTCAAAACATCCAAATATCCGAACGACGTCAAGTATTAACAATACACTTTTCGTGCATCTCGAACAAGGCAAGGTTCTGTGATCCAGCGCGGAATACACATTGCTGGCAATGTGTGTTCCGACAGTTATCCAAGACGCTGATGGTTGATCATCACTTACGATCCCCGATGACGTGTCAGTCGAATCTGGTGTTTCAATTTTTGACTGGGCGTTTCCCTCTGTCTGATAATTCGTACATTTCGGGCCATACGGTGCGTTATGTCCCCTGACCGTGTTACCACAAGTGCTGCAACACCTTGGCTTAGCTCCTTGCGTTTCTATATCACTATTAGTATCCATTATACGGTTCTTCAAAAACTTCAAAAAGCTTTACTCAACTATGACTAAGTGTAAATCGAATGAATATACGCATGCGCTAATAATCAGTTATAGTAAGATAATAAAGATGTCGCTATGCTATTAAAAACTATTTACTTTGTAAATAATCAACAAATATCAACAAAGGACCTTATACACCCTCCATTGGGATCTCCCCATGGGAAAAAAATAATTCATCTGATTTTTCAAAATGAGTATTCTGCTTCAATTATTACATTTATATGCACACTAGTATCTTGTTGACCTATATTCAGCACTGTATTGATGTATAGGCCACTTATTAGGGTCATAATTCAATCATGAAGTGTAAAAGTGACCATTGTAATTCAAAAATTTGGAAAAATATGATTCCTGGTCCTTATAGAGCCATGTTTCTGAAAGTGCTATTACTGAAATGGTCTTGTCAATAGCAGAAATCATGTTTGTTAATTTCCATTGGTTTGCTGATAAACTGCGTATATTGCTATGTATAAGAGACATGTCTAATAAATTCTTGGCATTCAATGAGTTATTCAGTTCAGTCAGGGTAAGATAATCACATTTTGACATATAATCATAAGAAATATCATCATAACCTGGTGTATCCTCATCATCGCCTCTAATCTCAATTGGATTGAAAAGTTTGTTTTCAAATGTAATTATCATATTACCATTAGGAACCAACTCGATAAAATCATTATGGTCTCTGACACTGTAAAAGGGTAACTCAGTCCAAGGATGTGACAAAGAAACTGTATCATCCTCTATCAAATGTAAAGTTATGTGAATACACAGACAAGTCCCCACTGAAAACAATTATGGTAATGACAAGGTAAATCATTTGTCAAATTAAAGAAAGATGGCAGGTAAAGCAGGTAGTCACTGCTCTCACTGCTAAAAATGAATAATTTGAGTATCAAAAATATGTGTGTGACACAAAAACCCAAATACAGGGTGACCCAAAAAAAATGCAACCCTCCATTTCTTCAATATTTTTCTTAAATGGAGGTAAATTGCTCTGAGATTTGGCACACAAGAACTTCATTCAATGTGGGATCCTCTGGCAAAGTTTTAATAACGATAGTCTTATATTGATCGAGTTATGGTTGTTTCAAAATATGCTCCATATATCGTCAATTTCGCTGAAAACAAACTTGCAATGTTCAAGGAAAACTGTTCATAACACGGATGCATTCTTCCCCATGGGTATGGCTCAAATTTTTGCAGGAATGCTTGTTGGAGTTCTGCAATTGCAGTAGGGTTATTTTCATACACATTATCCTTTAAATAACCTCATATATAGAAGTCAGGGGCATTGAGATCAAGACTGTGGGATGGTCATGGGTTCTCCATCCTAGGAGAGATAATCTCATCATAGAAATGACTAGTGAGCCAGGCTATGCTATCATAAGAAGTGTGAGGAGTAGCCCCATCCTTCTAGAATCGCTGTTCTTGTCTATTGAAGCCTGTATGTCATTCTAGAACTGCCTAGAACTTCCTGGGAATGCCAATATTGCGCTGTGTGTTAACAGTAACAGTGTTGCCATTATCAACCTCAAACCAAAAGGGGCTGATGATTTCATGTTTGGAAATTGGCAGCCCAAGCTGTGCATTTAACAGAATGAAGGGGCCTTTGAAGCACTTCATCTTGAATTTGTGATCCCAGAACACATTATTTCTTGAGTTTACATGTTCAGAAAGAAGGGAATGTGATTCTTCCGAAAACCTAACATTGGAAATGGACGACATTTTGAGCATATTTTGGAACGACCATAACTCTATCAATATAAGACTCTGATTATTGAAACTTTGCCAGAGGATCCCACATTGAATGAAGTCCGTGTGTGCCAAATTTCAGAGCAATTCACCTCCATTTAAGAAAAATATTGAAGAAATGGAGGGTTGCATTTTTTTTGGGTCACCCTGTATGTGTATAATACCATTACATTATAGAATAAGTTGGGTTTAGTAAAGTGTAAAGTCATTGAGTCATATTAATTAGTATACACAAACTCTTCATGTTGACATCAAGTAAATCACTTAGATTTTAATTCTCATTTTACAACATACTTATGATACTTTCTGAATGATCATATGTCCAATAACTGGAAATAAGTCCACTCAAAACTATTGTTAAACTATTTCCAATATTTAAATATGTGAAATCAAAGTCAGATTAATTCTCAAAATTCATGCAATCAAGTTGATAATATAAAAAACAAAACAAATAAGCATGATCAGCCAGCGAAGCCAACTCAGTATAAAGATAAAACTCAGTAATCGTAATCAATGCATCATGGTATTCACTCAAAGTTTGCCAATATAGAAAGTATACACTCCAAACATGAAATGATCTCAATGCAAAAAACTGTCAAAAAATGTCAGTGTACTCTTTGCAAAATAGAATAGATCAGGTCAAATGTAAAAAAGGAGGTAATCACTGCTCTCACTGCTCCTAAAAATAAATATGAAGAGTATCGAAATATTTGCAAATGACACTAGAACCCAGGAAATCATAATACCATTGTGTTATCAACTTGAATGCGTTTTGAGAAAAGGGGAAATGTAAAGTCATGATAATCATAGTCATAATACATACACAAACTCTGCATGTAGAAGTTGAACAAAATACTCACTTTATCTTATGCTGGTACAACATACATATTATATAATACTCTCTGAAATGTCATATGTTCAGTTGACAGGAATAAGGCAGTTAAAACAAAACAAAAAACTAATTACAAAAAAATTGAACCTGTAAAGTCATGGGTAAAACAACATTGCAGAACATTCCAACCCATATACTGAATTGTCATAGGTTCAACTAATAAAATAAGTTCAGTCAAATAAACTATTTACAACATTTAAATTTCTGTGAATTCATGAACAAGACCATTCTCGAAACTGCAGAATGTTGAAAGTACTTTTCTCAATATTCAGTACTCATTATAATACTAAAGTGGCTTTGAATGACCAGATAGGGCAAGGTTCATTATAGCACAAAAACAATTCTGCCAAGAGTACAACAGCATACTGTGAACCTACTTTTCAAAAAAACTCATTGATCATATTATTGCATCCTTTCAGAGCAATGAGTAACAACAAACTTGGTATGAGTTGCATGCTCAATGACCTATCAATACTTAAATAATATGATTAGTCAAGTCAGACTTAATTTCAAACATTAGGCCTTTGAGTTCATAGTTTAAGAACTTTGGAAACAGTGTCATTAAGAACTATGAGCAATATTTTCAACTCATTTTAAGATAATCAGTGTATTCTTGGCTATAAAAGGTCAGTTATAATGTCAAAATTTGACTGATTATAAGTAAATGAATGAACACTCATATAATATAGATATATATATATATATTCACATTATATTATGCTATAGACCTACCTTGCAAGATAAGATAAACTCACATCTAAAGTAAGAAATTATGCTATTCAGGCTTTCAAAGCATAAAATTTATGATAATGTACTTAATCTCAAATATGCTTTAGGAAGCATGGTTAATGATGTTAATACTATACCTGTTTTGCAAGAGAGATCTAGCAGCATGATATTAGTTATGCTTTTCGACTGATGTTTAAACATACAAATACAAATATATACAGTGTGACGCATAGCGTTTAAAATGTTTACCAGATCCTTACAGATCAAATGTTGGGGGGACAACTGAATGCTTTTCAATTGAATTATGAATACTTAAAATGCTTGAGAACATTGGAACATGTCTTAGTTATCCCAGCTATGTCTTCTGGACTGAGGCGTTCGCGCCATTTATCCATAGTGTAAGATGCATTTTTGCATAAGGCAAATGGTTGACTGTCTGACAAAGTTTGTGTCATATTCGGACAATTAGTATTCAAATTCAACCAGTCAAGCATCTCTGGTTGTGACTCTCTATCCAGAAATTCGTCAATTTTTTCTATTGTGTTCTTTGGGTCGTTAACAACATCCTCGTATCTCACCTGGAAAATAACATTATTTCTTATTTCCTTAATTACAGTTTTATGAATATCATCACTGGGTGGCGATAATAACTAGATGTTGGCAAAAATCTAATTACCAACGTCGTATGCCAGCATAGAATTAATAATCAACATAGTATGACAATTAATTACAAACGTGGTGTGACATTGTAGAGTACACTGCCATATTGTTACATAACAATTTGCTTTGTTGCAACCGTGAAACTGCATGTACATTTGATTGTCATGCAGTTAACGTATTTGTATAAGTCTTAAAGATGTTTTGCATTGTTAAAATCATACCCCATGGTAGTAAGAAGTAATTCCCTAATGACTAGAAAATGTGAAAATCATAAAGCATTAGACATAATCTGAAGATGAACAGAAACGAAAAAAGGAAAAACAATCAACAAACAAATTGATTCACCTGTAGTATCCTCCTAGCAATATGCAGAGGTTGTCTTGAAGCAACTAGAATGTCGTTCCAAATCAGTCTACAGAGTAAATCAGACGACTCTACAAGGGTCATTCTATCCTCAAATGCAAAAGATGTTACAGTGTCGACCCTGGAATTCTGAATACCTCGAGGGTCCCTGATATAATGTATCACTTTAATGTCGGAATATCTTTCCAAGAGCGTTACAGCAGTCTTCATGTTCATGCGAATCAATTTATAAACTCTTTGATTAGATTCTGAGCAATTTTTTCTCAAATCGTCAGTGCATCTTAACAAACGATTCCATTTGAGCTTCACCTTTGAGTTATATGTGTTGAAATGTTGCATTATAGTTGTTCTGTTCTTGTTGCCTTGGTGTAGTGAAATATCGTCATAGACGTCTGGGTTAACACACTCTGGAGGAATATCATTCATATAGGTAGGCCTATCACAATGACTATAGGTAATGTTGGGCCATTTTTTGAGGCCATTCTGTTTTATGCATTGTTTGTATGACACTGAATGAATTGCGGGTAGTGGACCGTCACTTTTAAAGTTCTCAATATGGACAGAGTTGTAGTCGCAGTTAAACATTTTGTTAAGTGTCTCCGCTATATAGTTCACTTCGTAATCAGGCGCATCACTGCCAAAAAACAACAAAAACACATAAACTCAAATGAGCCATACAAGAAATAAGGTAAATACGGAAAACGATATCTAAGTTGCAGAATTTAGGAATGTTTTCAATGATATTAGGTGTATTTCTCAGTTTTGTTGAGTAAAAGACGAAGGAACAATTCACCCAAAATAAAGTGGATATTCTTGTCAATGCCAATGTCACTGCTACCCACCTAATTACACAGACGTATCGTCGGTGTATCATGGCGGAACTTCCTCCGGGACAAGGTTTCGGTAAGATTTTTTTATTTCCCGATTTACACCTACTTATAAGTCACGTTGTGGATAATAATTTGGCTCGAAGTTAAGGAAGATAGTCTAGTTTGAGAATGTGTCGATGGCTTTAGGTTTTATATGTTAAAAAAGACACAATTCACGTATTTAGTCCCTCGCTTTTCTTACACTGACGAACGACCAATATCACTCTGACGAATCATTGATTTGGAGCTGTTGCTTACACTGACGAACCATTTTAACATTTGTGTATACTAGGTAACAATTTCGTATGTATGGTTAAACTATTTCAGAGAGTCATGGATCTCCCAAATACAAATGCTACTATTGTAATAGGGGATGGGGAAGCGCCAAAGATGTTATTACGCATACAATGCAATATCATGATGTTCCCAATTTTTACAAAACCATGCAGTTTTCACCATTCTGAGCACTTTCGTATGATTTTTAGCCAAAATTGTGAAAAAAGCCAAAGCTCGTACATTGGCGATGTATCTCTGGCCATGGACATGTTTCTAAAACGTTACACGTATGTGTGTTGTCCACGGGTGTGGTCAAACGTACTCAGTTTTGCATTGAACATAACCATTGCAAATGTCATTCTAGGGAGAACAATCCTTATCAATTATTGTGAACATACAAAGGAAAAGAGCAAGTTACGTATCTTCAACTTACCATCCCGTGCATCATCAATTGTCACCTATTAATTTCAATAGTCAGAGCCATTTAAAGACAATTAGTGAATTAAGGATTCTTATTTACCCAAAAAATCGATCATATATCGGCTAAAGATGATTTATCATCAAAATCTTCATCAACAGTGCGAGTGAATCTGATAATTAAAAATGAATTTAAAGCATTTCTAAATGTAATCTTATATGTTACATTTCAAATATGATGATACTTTAGTGAATTATAAAATAATCAATAATGCATTTGTTTTGTATAGTTGCTAGGTGAGGAGCTGTAATTGATGTTTTTCAAATACTTGACCCTCGCAAAAAGTTTCAGTAGAAATATGTTATTTTAGTGATTTGGTATGTTTTAGGTGACTTTGTAGAAAATATTTTGCAATGTGTGAAAATAATTTAAGCCAAAGAATCAATGCATTGTGGAATGGCAATTCCTTTCAAGGGTTGTGTCCTAAAATTGACATTTGATGCAAGCATCTCGAGCAAATTTTGGAAAGCAACGTCCTTCAAGGAATGGTCATTCCACAATGCACTGAGTCTAAATCCTTAAACAGCAAAAAGAGGAGGGAAGCCCCAGAGTTTAAAGATGACAGACATAATTACCTCTCTTGCTTACCACCTTCGTTCGTTCGAATTTTCATCGTCTAGTTATCAAATACTACACTTCGATGGGATGTTTTAATTGATATAGGCATATTCCGTACACCTTTCTTTATCTTGATGTGAAATGAGAAGCTATGATATTGGTTAACACGCCAGAAATGAACATAATATTATTCGAAGCGTATTTCGAAAATTTTGAAACCGCCATTGATGACGTCATTTGTTTGTCGACTTTTGACCAATCAGCGACGATGTCATCTCAATACAGATTTACATTATAAGCGTATGTCATCTTTGAACCCTGGGGTTTCTCCCCCTCTTAACAGCAAAACAGCAAACATGAAACTTACCCCACTAGTGTCCGCCATTGCAGTAGATGGCTCTTGGTCAACTACAATAAGAGCCAGTCAAAACAAATGTGATGATAGTTGTAGCAAAATAATGTAAATAAACTGCACACTCCCAATAGCGCTATCACATCAACCGCATGTTATATACTACGAGTAAATTTGTACTCCAATTTATTATTAATTGAGAATATGATGCCTGTTTTGTTTAAATATTTCAAGATGTTATGCACATATCATAATTACATAAAAATAATTGAAAGGATTTGATTCAATATCTCAGCTTCAGCTTCACATACCTCCCCCTGGGTACCTGCCAGAAATCTCCGAGATTTGATAGAAAGCTACATCCATAGGCCCGGGAACATGTATAAAAATATCGAGGCGATTTTTATAAATGCCACCGGGCGTATGGCTACGTCCTATGTTCATGACATTCCTCAGATCAACTTTCTCAATAATATTATCCATTCGTCAGGGTAAGCAAACCTCTTCGTCAGTGTTATATTGGCAATATTAATGCCGATCGTCAGTGTAAGAAAAGCGAGGGACTAAATACGTGAATTGTGTCTTTGTTAACATATAAAACCTAAAACCATCGACACATTCTCAAACAAGACTATCTCCCTTAACTTCGAGCCAAATTATTATCTACAACGTGACTTATAAGTAGGTGTAAATCGGGAAATGAAAAAATCTTACCGAAACCTACTCCCGGAGGAAGTTCCGCCATGATACACCGACGATACGTCTGTGTAATTAGGTGGGTAGCAGTGAATGTCGCCTACCGTATCGTTCCATTAGCGAAGGCTCTAATGCTCCATGGCGGCACAGTCACACCCCCATACATATGAGCATAGACTCCAACAAGCGGCTCGAACAGATATTGGGTTTTAGGGTATGTATGGAGTAGCTCTCCAAAGAAAGATGTCCCCCCTCTTTTATATCCTAATACAATGACCTTTGTGACACCTTTCATTGGTTTAAACTACACAAAAAAATAAAATGAATACCGTAAATATTAAATTGAAATACAATTTTAGATTTTATGCATGTTTATTTCACCAATGAAGTCAAACCTTACTTCGTCATCTGTTCCATGAGCTGCCTCGACTCCTTGGGAAGCATCAACATGTGTTTCAATGGTTAGGTGATCCGAGGCTACCAAAATTCTTGTGCCATCTTTGTCTAGAAATAAATACAATGTCTTGTTCTTCTAAGATATCCTTAATTGATCACTCAAATCTTTATAGTAACAAAAGCAGCTAACCCCCAAGTTAAAAAGCAATTATCCAAGATATTAACTAATTTTCGATCTCTGTTATTTTTATTATATTTCAGTCATGTTTGGTCTAGAATCGAGAAATATTTACGGTGTTCGTTGAAGATTGACGATCAACGATTGTCCCACGGACACAATACGTACGGCTTATCCAAGATTTTACAGGTCGTAGGATCGCCGTGGAAATTTTAACACGGAGGTATACTTTTTATGTCTACGTTCGCTAGCAGTATACATAGAGGCAGTCTTACCTTAACTGACCATGGCCAATTGTACATGTACACACAAAAAGCATCAATCGTCAGATCATAATGTAGGCCTTAAGCATTTCTAATTACATGAAATGTAAACTGGCTCTAGTAAAAGCCATCAAGATAAGTTAAATGTGACAAATTTGGACGTGAATCTAGAGACCTTCTCAATTTGCACTTTCTAAGGTGAATTTGCACTTTTTTGTAGTTGAATCATTTGTTGAACTCTTATATCTCTAATCAATTTCAATAAAGAGTAAATCAGCAGAGTATAGATTTGTTTATGAATGTTTCATGAATGTCAAAAATGTCGAATCTCAAAATACATACTCCTGGAAATCAGATGAATTAAAAAATATTGGTTATACATGTGAAGCCTAGATATAAAGCAGGTTAAAACGTGACCTTTTCAGAGTTTTTCAGTCTACGAATTAGCTCACTACTTACTAAACGCCTTGTACTTTCTGAAACCTGGTGCAAATCTTTTATTAATAACAATTGATATGTAATAGGGAGCCGTTCAATCATAACTTGTCCGGAAGATTTGAAAGCAAAAAATGCTAATTTGCAGTCCGACCTAGAGAAAATCAGAAAATCGGCGACCACATCTTATCATCACCTCGATTTTCAAGCATATACGATATGTAAAATAAGACTTGAAATTGAACAAGGTCATTATAAATGGTCATCCGGAAGTCGGATTACAATTAATTTTTCAGATTCGTCATTCCGTTAATTTGTTTTGCATCTACTTTTGTACACGAGCATCTCAGAATAAGAAACTACAAAATCATACACTTACAGTATACTTAATCTACCAGTGTTTCCAATATATCGGAGGAACATTGACGTTCAGTGCTGTAAAAATGTTAAAATATATATATATGTTGTATAGGTACAGTGACAATAAATCTATGCATATAGCCGCCTTGGCAAACTAATTAAAAATAAATCTTCACACATACCTGCCAGGGTAAATAGTACAAGGATACAAAACGCTGTAGCCATTACAGTAAGCAGAATAATCTTAAAGACGTTCTGACAGTCAGCAAAACTAATTGGCCTCACATTTGCTTTCATATTGGTGCTCGTCTCTCTGAAGATGGCTAGACGGAAATATCTTGTCCAGTAGGCCGGCCTATGATGTACCTTTACCTAAATGTTTGAAATGATAAGTTTAGTTCTTAAGTAAGTTGTGTATGTTGGTCAGCTGTATTGTAGGTGTCCTTCATCATGTTGTTTCAATTGATGAGAAGAATATATCCCATCAATTATATGCAGCCATCGTGTACATTTCACTAATGGGACTTCATGAGTTGTTGTGGTTATGGATTCTACAATCATATATACCATGTGTGTTATAGCCGTGAGTTTTTATAACATTATAACCATCGAAACTTAGACAGCATTTTCATTCTTTTTCAAACAATCGATAGGTTAGCCTTTACTTAATTAACGTTTTAGAATACAGATGTCCTGCAAACACATTTTGTTAGCTTTGAATGCTACAAACATGGGATCTTCCAATAGATACATAATTCCTAGTTTAGCAGCCGTCATTTTTGTACTCATCGTTTTCTCAACTATATTGGAACGGGACTTCTCCCCAGATCGAATGAATCATAAAAACGTTATCCAGGATAGCAGGCCGAAACGGATAAGTGCAATACATTCAAAACAAGATGCAGATGTAATACAAACTGATGAAACTACAGAGTTGAAAACTGTTGTTGTTGACAGTGAGTCAAGTGATATAGTGAATAATAATGAGTTCAAAGCTGTACTGGAGATTACGAAAGCAAATGACAGAACATTGAATGAAACGTTGCACAACATTAGAGTAAATGGAAAGGATGTTCACAATTTTTTAGACATAGAGAAAATAATACATACTGATTTCTATAAAAACCTTTCCAAGATTTCACGAAAATGGAATGAAAAAAGAGTAAACACATTGACGTTAACTGGACCCTATCTAGCCCAAATATTCAACTGGCTCGTTAGCGCACATTTGCAACTTAAGGAACCAATCGGAACGACACTATTAGTAACACCAGATAAAAAATTGAAACACTTTCTAGACAACAGAAACATTGACTGTATTTGGGTAGATACGTCTGAGTTTATGCCTTCCCTTTTAAGCGAAGATTGTAACTTCCCGAAGTGTATCTGGCATATTCGACTGATGCTGTGGCGGTCGTTAAACCACCTTGGGTTTGATGTGGTCAACTATGATAGCGATGCCTTGCCACTCCTTAACCCAAATCCACTTTTTAATATGTTTCCAAAGAGTGATATCATAGGAGCTAAGGGAAATAAGAAAGGAGTAATTAGTCAAACATGGACTTTAGCACTCAACATGGGATGTGTGTTATTTAAGAGCTCCCTGGAGAAATGTAAGATCGCTTATTTGTCTTTAGTTAGCGCAGTTGTGACGAGTGACCAGAAAGTTCACATTTAAGCTACTATGTTTATCATTTTTTCTTTAATTTCAGCATCATTTTGGGAGTTTGGACACAACTATACGAAGACACTGAATTCCCTGAACACTGATCAAGGAATAGTGAACTATATACTTTACGGAATGAATACAACTAGGTCTAAATCCATCACTAACCTATGTAGTGGTCCCACGTGCTCTGATTGGGTTTGGGAAGGGACTGGAAATAATTGCCTAAAGGTGACGATTCTGTCAAAAGAATTGGCGTGCAGGGCTGTTGCATGCAAGACCGCAGTCAACCTAAGCACTGTTACCGTGTGGCATCCGTCTAAGAATGCCGATTCAGCCGGGGATGTATGGTTTCTTAAAAATGACTGGCAGAGACATCTTTCTGCAGCTGACCCATCAGTTCCATTTCTATCCTGGCTTTCTAATATTGCAAACTTTTCATCATTTGATTTGTCAACCTTTAATCATACGCTTTGATAACTACAGCTATACATGTACACATAGATGTTAGAGAAATCCAAGTTCATATGTTATTGCATTTTTGAATTATATTACTTTTGTCACATTCATCCAACCTCAAGTCAATAATTATATTGATATAAACCAATAGAGCTGGCCAAAAAAGGTCACAGAAGAAGACGCTGATAGTAAAATCAGTCCTTACAAGTTACGGAATAGAGTTAAGAGTAAGTATAGAAAAATTGTCACAAGTTTATTTGAAAACATTTTAGCTAAACAGACGTTTCATCGGCGATCCAGCTTTACTCAGGTCCATTTGTCACCCCTATACATCCTATAGTGAACCTAGAAATTATTAAAAGTACAAAGTATTATGACCAATTCATGATAATAAGGGTTTTTTGAAGTGATTTAACTGGGTTGGACAAAAAGTTAGTTTGGGGAAAAAATAATATAGGCTAATTAAGGAGGCACTTATTGAAACATTGATTTTTTTCAATACCTTGAAAAGTAACAATGGTAGCAGCATAATTATTTTGTCTAAATCTATGTTTTCAGGGTTAACCCTTTTAACGTCATAACGACATTTATGTCGTTTTACCGCTGCCTCCCACAACGACATTTATGTCGTTTTGACACGTGAAATCATGAAATGCAAATAATCTTAGAAAAAACTTACATCAGACTAATAGAACCGTAATATGTCAAAGCAAATTCAAATCATTCACTTACATCCACAGAGACTGTAAATCGGCCTGAAATACCCTTCTTTATGGGTGAAATATTGTAAAAAGTCACGGAATCAAAATATTTGGTTCAAGCCTTTTAAAAATGGCGGCTTGTTTTCATCACGTGATATCTGAGAAAATACGTCATTAGTTCAAGAAACGTTATTCCGATAGTCAGGCTAAGTATAGTCAGTCTGAATCACGGGAAGGCAAGCATATATGTTTCTGAAATTCTATTGTTCATTATTATCCACTTTCCTGGCGTTATTTTGCCATTGTCATCTTGGAAACGAAAAGATGTTGACAGGTCCCTAGAAAAAGTCCGCCAAACTTCAAACCCGGAAGACATTTATTTCATTAAATTAACATAGACTATCAAAGGGCATGGTCTAAACATGAATATGGGTATAACAAACAAATATTCTTTTCACTTTTCGCTAATGTATAAGATGAAATTTCTAATCTTCAACCGTAAGAATCAGCATATTTGCAAACCCGGAAGCTACAACTAGACTGCGTAATCGGGCGGATCAACTCTGAAAATAAACAAACAAAAATGTCGCGTCTGACAATATGTTTCTTTCTTGAGAAATCGCTTCGCAAGGCTCAAATCAAAGTAATTGGCTACACAACTTTGAAACCAACTAATAGACTGTAATTACAGAAGATAGAGGGGCCTCGATCTATACGCAAAACGGACAGTGGCTGTAGCTTTCAGATTGTGACTGAAATATTGGTGTTTTTATCCAGGATTTTGACGGATCTAGTTTAGTATTTGTTTTAACACTCTAATAACACTCTAATATGGATTATTATATGAGAGATCATGACTAGTACAAGTGAGGCCCAGCTAAAAGCTAGTACATTCGATTGTTTTGATGAGAATAGTGGCAATGACATGTCAGAGCAGGCAAGTTCAGAGGAGGATGATGATGATGATGAAGAATGGACTGCAATTTTACCCAATAACTTTAATATGAATGAACATGTATTTGACAATGACAGGTGTGGACCAGTTAATCCACCCCAGTAAATAGCTCTCCGATGGACTATTTCATAGCACAGTGTAGGGGTATTCCTCAGCATCAAGGAGCTGACAACCGGTCTCTTTTTGAGATTCTTGTGCAAGAGACCAATAGGTATGGCTATACACACCCTAACATTAGCTACATGTACATGTACGTTTACATGTCACTGAGTCTACATGCTTTTCAATATATACATGTACATGAAGTACAAATTTGCAGATCTGTACAAGTACATGTAGCTGAGTTCATTTCTTTCCAAACAAGAATACCAAGTGTCGGTGATTCACTTTTAGCTAATTAGAAAATACCACACATACATCAGGTACATACATGTACATACACTGTAGTTCATTTATTAGTTCAATTTATTTTTCTCTGCAAATATTCAACTTTTGTGGCCCCTGAGGTCACCATACATATAATTGAGCCTACACGTCAACTCGATGTGAACATCTATGGTCACTGTGAAAGCTAAAATAAACAATATACATGTATGCATGTTTACAGTGTATGAGGTTTCTTGGACAATTGCAAAACCCACACTAGGCATTCTTTTGTGTGTTTTTTGTTACAAGTTAATTACAAAAAATTACAAGGGAATCAAGACCCTACAGAGTAAAATGTCATTTGTTTATGTTAAACCATGCATGCATGATCACAAGATGAAATCCATATCAATATAATCAGTTATTCCAGATATGCTAATGAGAGTGGAGCCAGTGACTTTGAAGATGTCACTGAAGCAGAAATACAGCCTGAGCTGTCCATGTATTGGGAGGAAAGTCAGGAGGAGAATTGGCTGACCTATACTCCAGCCTTTGGCAAAGTCATGCCTCGGAACATTTATTGAGAGCCTTGTTGGTAGGTCATTTTATTTTTTAATATATTACAGTACTGTTGATGAATTCTTTTTTTGCATAGGCCATATTTGAACTTATTGACTCACCAATCAAACTAAAATTGAAAAGCACAGCCTATACATGAATTTATTTTTTATAATTATCCATATGAAAGAAATGCATAATATCAGATTTTTATGCTCCAAACGATATCACATTATTCTGATACAAGTCTGACATGGCAAAAAACAAATTATTATAATGTAATTATTCTTATGACATACATGACAAGTTATCTATGATATATAGCTTATTACTCTGTTACTCTCACATTGGATTCCAGGCCAGCAAATGCTACATGTATTTATCACTAATGTTAAAATATGGCAATTCAATGCCGAGATATATTCATAGAAATGAATCTAAATTATAACATGTATTGAAATCTATACATTTTTATGTTTCAGGCCACAAAGGGCGTGATCATTTGATTCAATACATGCCGAAAAAGCCAAGGAAATGGGGTGCCAAATACCACAGCTTATGTGAAGGGGAGACTGGTTACACAGCCGCAACAAAAATGTATGCTGGTAAGATGATAATCTTTTAATTGTTAGTTCACTTGGTGAGCTATTGCAATCACTCACTTGTCCGTCTGTCAACAACTGGCCCATTTTAAAACCTCTGTCAAAAGGATTCCCGTTTTGAGTTATTTTTGTTCAAAATCAATATAGAAAACCCTCTTATGACTTCTGGTTCAAAAGCTCGCCTATTTTCAAAATGGCCGACATTTTTGTCTCGTGATCATTTGATTTAAAACCTGTGTTGATAGGATTCCCGTTTTAAGTTATTTTGTTCAACATCAATACAGAAAACCTCCCTATAATTCATGGTTTAAGGGCTCGCCTATTTTCAAAATGGCCGCCACTTTTGTCTCTCGAAATTCACCTTTGGATCATTTGGTAGCTTTATAAATAATTTCAGGTGTCCTGCATTGTAAAATGCCATGTCACTGTAAAGAGTCGTTCTATGGAATAATTTTGTTACAAAAAATCTGCAAAAAATGATATCCATTTTTTTATTTTCGGCCATTTCAGTTAACATTAATTTGTCCATTTGTCTCTCAGTCAGTCAACAATACAGTAGAAGCATGTTTTGCTGGAATTTGTCAGACTCACTCCATAATATAGAAGCATGTTTTGGAACCTGAGTCAATAAGATTCCTATTTTAAATTATTTTGGTTCCTCTTTAATATAATTCAAAAGCTCAAAAGCTTGTCTTTTTTCAAAGCAGTTTTTATGGAAAAATCACATTTTGTCATTTCAGTAGCTTTAAAACGGCTTTCAGGTGTCTTAGATTGTAAAAACACATGTCACTGTAAAGAGTAGTTTAATGGGATAATTTTGGAAAAGAACAGTCAAAAATTTATATCTGCTTTTTTTAATTGTCTACCATTTTATGTACCATTAACTTTTCTCTTTGCTGACCAACACCATTTGAACCCAGTACCCATGGTACTATTTAATTTTATAGTGTTGTAGATTGGGTTAATTTGATGCCTGGTTTATGCCATAGTGGAGAATTGTGCAAATTTTCTCACACTGGCAATTTTTTTAATTAGATGACAAAAGAATCAATACAGATAAATTTGCAATGTCATACAGTGAAGTGTTCTCCCCAGGATTCTTTTCTCACGTGGTATCATTTTTTCAGTTATGTCCGAAAATGATCAAAACATTCCACCTTTTCATGAGTTTTCTAATTTTGAAGTGGGTGCAAATGGGTTTCATATGGGTACAAGCCTATTTTCAAAATCTCAAGTGGGTGCCCACTTGATTTAATCCTAGGGAGATCACTGTCATATGTTGTAGATATTTAAATTGTCAACCATTTTCAGATAAACAGATGAATTGGAAGTGGTCAGCCTGCGTACCATCCCAATGGGTTCGGCTATCAAATAGTCACCGAATTGGTAGCTCCTTTACTAAACAAAGGCCACCATGTCATCCTGGACCAGGCATTTGGCAGCATGCAAATATGGGAATTCCTGGACGAAGAAGGTACTTGCGTCACATGCATGACAAGGGCCTCCAGGATTGGATTACCGAATAACTTTAGGGAGTTAGTAGTGGGGGAAGGCCAACTGGTGACATATCAAAAAGGCAATGTAATGATTGCGAAGTATGGATCAAAGAGACAGGTGTCGATAATGTCTACACTGTGTAGTCCTGAGTAAGTATATAGGAATATGATTCAAGTATATATATTTATAATTACCAATTGTGAAAACCAATGTTCAAATAAAACAGGTTTCACTGAATATTATTATATAGCTTGTATGTGATACAGCATTCATAGGCATAATCAGCTCTTACTCTTTTACAGGATCCATATTGTGGCCAATGCAAGGGGGGTTGAAAGTCACAAGCCCTATGTAATTCATGTATACAGTATAACAAGAAGATGGGAGGCGTTGATCTGGCAGACCAGCGGGTCAGACCGTATGATCCAGAAATAAGGAGCCGGAAGTTGTGGAAGATGATGCTCATCAACATGATTCTGAAAACACTTTGTATGTATTTTTAAATCCAAGGAAAATATAAGAACAATTTTCTTCATTAAATTTCAACTAAAAACATTATTTTCAACAACATACCATAAGCATTTGAAAAAATAAAGTAAGCATTATTTGCTATTTATTTACTTGTTGAAACATTTACTAAATGTAGTTATTTTTATATTTTAGTTTACAAGCATATTTGGCCACTGAAACTGTAATGAAAACGATTTTGTACAACTGATTGTTTTGTTTTCCTTGTGAACAAAATACATTTCTATTCCTAGGTCTAATCTGCAATAGCTTAATATAAACTTTGTCTTAAAATTTGTTTTCAGTGAATTCATACATCATATATGAACAAAGTATTATTGCGCATGGGCAGAGGCCGTTGACCCATGTCAAGTTTCACAAGGCTGTCTTGACGGGGCTTGTTGGGGACTATCGCCAACAGTGACGCTGTGGTAGATTTCCAGTTCAACCTCAGGCACCACGTCTGGCAGAGCGGCACTCCCCAGCAAAAATTCCTGGCGGAGCCCGTAAAAACTGTGTTTTCTGCACTTCATCTCCTAGAAACCAGGCTCAGCCATACTCGAAGACACGTGTCACAACCTGGTGCTCTGACTGTGGTGTTGGACTTTGTGCCCTTGGTTGTTTCAGGCTTTATCATACACAGCAGATATATGCACGCCGTGATGCTGTTGAACAATAACCATTATGTACAATAAGGCCTGTCTGATGAAACACCTCTCTGAAGGGAACACTAGTCTACAAGGAACAGTTATGACCATAACCGAGAGTATTACTTTTTCACAGGTTTAACTGTAACTGTTTGTTTTTGTATGTTGACTCTACTAGAACTGCACAATCATTTAGAAATATCTATGGAAATAACATGGAAATGTTACCAGCATTTTGTAACTTTTTAATTACAGTAAAACCTGTCCAATGGAATATCTCACTGAAGGGAACATCTGTCTACAAGGAATAGTTTTTGAAAGTCTACAAAGAATAGTTTTTGAAATAACCAAGTCCAAATACATTGACTTCTATTCTACCCTCTCTTGAGAAACCTGTCTACAAGGGACAGTTTGGACCAATCCCAAGAGCATATCTTGTTTGAATATTTTACTGTATATTGACAAAAGATTGTGCACTTGTTGCTATGGTAATGTTGCTATGGTATGTTTCTAGAAATGTATTAGTTATAAAATATGTTTATGTGTTAGGCTAACAATTGAAGTTAGTCAAAATAGTGCTTGTGTAAGGTAATGGAAGAAGTAAATTGTAAATATTTTGTCAATCAGAACCAAATTGAAAATGGTTATAAAATGTAAGAAGTAGTGCACTTGTTGCTATGGTAATGTTGCTATGGTATGTTGCTAGAAATGTATTAGTTATAACATATTTTTATTAGGCTAACAATTGAAGTTAGTTGAAAACATGCTTGTTTAAGGTAATGGAAGTAACACAGTTATGATTTCCTGTACATTTTACACTGACCAACTTTTTAAGATACTCAATATCTTTTAGAATTTCAGACTATTTGCTCCAAAATTCAGTAAGCGGGAAGTAATTGCAACACTTTGTTTGTTAGTGTAGCAATACTATTTCGCTATCATGATGTTTGCATTACTTTTATTCTCAAAATATATGTGTAGTCAAAACAAACCTTTGAAGTTTCAATTCATGCTTTTATTTTACCATGAAATTATAATGTACAAGTAGATAATCAGAACTCAGACATCTAGTATTTTGTTTATATTCTGTTCCAAACCATTGTGACGATGTCATAATAGCAAAACTTATGCCATGTAACGCCAGTACGTGTAAATCAGTAAACTAACACCTAATAATGTTTTCCTGAAAATTTCACATTAATTAGACGAAAACTTATTGAGATATTCAATATTTAGTTTTTCTATCAATTTTTTTACCTTTTTTTCTGAAATTGCTAAAACAATGCGGTTATGGGCAATACCTTGCTAAAAACAATGTGGGAGGCAAAGATATTAACTAATTTTCGATCTCTGTTATTTTTATTATATTTCAGTCATGTTTGGTCTAGAATAGAGAAATATTTACGGCGATCGTTGAAGATTGACGATCAACGATTGTCCCACGGACACAATACGTACGGCTTATCCAAGATTTTACAGGTCGTAGGATTGCCGTGGAAATTTTAACACGGAGGTATATTTTTTATGTCTACGTTCGCTAGCAGTATACATAGAGGCAGTCTTACCTTAACTGACCAATTGTACATGTACACACAAAAAGCATCAATCGTCAGATCATAATGTAGGCCTTAAGCATTTTTAATTACATGAAATGTAAACTGGCTCTAGTAAAAGCCATCAAGATAAGTTAAATGTGACAAATTTGGACGTGAATCTAAAGAGATCTTCTCAATTTGCACTTTCTAAGGTGAATTTGCACTTTTTGTAGTTGAATCATTTGTTGAACTCTTATATCTCTAATCAATTTCAATAAAGAGTAAATCAGCAGAGTATAGATTTGTTTATGAATGTTTCATGAATGTCAAAAATGTCGAATCTCAAATTTGAGATTTGAAATACATACTCCTGGAAATCAGATGAATTAAAAAATATTGGTTAGCAGGTTAAAACGTGACCTTTTCAGAGTTTTTCAGTCTACGAATTAGCTCACTACTTACTAAACGCCCTGTACTTTCGGAAATCTGGTGCAAATCTTTTATTAATAACAATTGATATGTAATAGGGAGCCGTTCAATCATAACTTGTCCGGAAGATTTGAAAGCAAAACATTCTAATTTGCAGTCCGACCTTGAGAAAATTAGAAAATCGGCGACCACATCTTATCATCACCTCGATTTTCAAGCATATACGATATATGTTTGAAATGATAAGTTTAGTTCTTAAGTAAGTTGTGTATGTTGGTCAGCTGTATTGTAGGTGTCCTTCATCATGTTGTTTCAATTGATGAGAAGAATATATCCCATCAATTATATGCAGCCATCGTGTACATTTCACTAATGGGACTTCATGAGTTGTTGTGGTTATGAATGCTACAATCATAGACACCATGTGTGTTATAGCCGTGAGTTTTTAAAACATCGTTATAACCATCGAAACTTAGACAGCATTTTCATTATTTTTCAAACAATCGATAGGTTAACCTTTACTTAATTAACGTTTTAGAATACACATGTCCTGCAAACACATTTTGTTAGCTTTGAATGCTACAAACATGGGATCTTCCAATAGATACATAATTCCTAGTTTAGCAGCCGTCATTTTTGTACTCATCGTTTTCTCAGCTATATTGGAACGGGACTTCTCCCCAGATCGAATGAATCATAAAAACGTTATCCAGGATAGCAGGCCGAAACGGATAAGTGCAATACATTCAAAACAAGATGCAGATGTAATACAAACTGATGAAACTACAGAGTTAAAAACTGTTGTTGTTGACAGTGAGTCAAGTGATATAGTGAATAATAATGAGTTCAAAGCTGTACTGGAGATTACGAAAGCAAATGACAGAACATTGAATGAAGCGTTGCACAACATTAGAGTAAATGGAAAGGATGTTCACAACTTTTTAGACATAGAGAAAATAATACATACTGATTTCTATAAAAACCTTTCCAAGATTTCACGAAAATGGAATGAAAAAAGAGTAAACACATTGACGTTAACTGGACCCTATCTAGCCCAAATATTCAACTGGCTCGTTAGCGCACATTTGCGACTTAAGGAACCAATTGGAACGACACTATTAGTAACACCAGATAAAAAATTGAAACACTTTCTAGACAACAGAAACATCGACTGTATTTGGGTAGATACGTCTGAGTTTATGCCTTCCCTTTTAAGCGAAGATTGTAACTTCCCGAAGTGTATCTGGCATATTCGCCTGATGGTGTGGCGGTCGTTAAACCACCTTGGGTTTGATGTGGTCAACTATGATAGCGATGCCTTGCCACTCCTTAACCCAAATCCACTTTTTAATATGTTTCCAAAGAGTGATATCATAGGAGCGAAGGGAAATAAGAAAGGAGTAATTAGTCAAACATGGACTTTAGCACTCAACATGGGATGTGTGTTATTTAAGAGCTCCCTGGAGAAATGTAAGATTGCTTATTTGTCTTTAGTTAGCGCAGTTGTGACGAGTGACCAGAAAGTTCACATTTAAGCTACCCTGTACTATGTTTATAATTTCTTCTTTGATTTCAGCGTCATTTTGGGAGTTTGGTCACAACTATACGAAGACACTGAATTCTCTGAACACTGATCAAGGAATAGTGAACTATATACTTTACGGAATGAATACAACTAGGTCTAAATCCATCACCAACCTATGTAGTGGTCCCACGTGCTCTGATTGGGTTTGGGAAGGGACTGGAAATAATGGCCTAAAGGTGACAATTCTGTCAAAAGAATTGGCGTGCAGGGCTGTTGCATGCAAGACTGCAGTCAACCTAAGCACTGTTACCGTGTGGCATCCGTCTAAGAACGCCGATTCAGCCGGGGATGTATGGTTTCTTAAAAATGACTGGCAGAGACATCTTTCTGCAGCTGACCCATCAGTTCCATTTCTATCCTGGCTTTCTAATATTGCAAACTTTTCATCATTTGATTTGTCAACCTTTAATCATACGCTTTGATAACTACAGCTATACATGTACACATAGATGTCAGAGAAATCCAAGTTCATATGTTATTGCATTTTTGAATTATATCACTTTTGTCACATTCATCCAATCAAGTCAATAATTATATTGATATAAACCAATAGAGCTGGCCAAAAAAGGTCACAGAAGAAGACGCTTATAGTAAAATCAGTCCTTACAAGTTACGGAATAGAGTTAAGAGTAGGAATAGAAAAATTGTCACAAGTTTATTTGAAAACATTTTAGCTAAACAGACGTTTCATCGACGACCCAGCTTTACTCAGGGGCAATTGAAGTCCAAGTTACTATTATAATATTGCTTAACCGCCACTACAGTTTTTAAAGCTTTGAGACGTGTACTATAATCACATCGAGAGTTCATGTCTCCAAAGAATCGAACAGGAATATGTTCACGCCACTATGGCTATAAGTACAGGGTGGTCCGAAAATGGGACACTAGTATTTCAAAAATAAATATTGTTTTTATTGATGAAAATATCCATATCAAATATTGCGTCACCCTCGCATCAAAACGGTGTCCCAAAACTTGCAAAAAGCATGTTTTTGTCAAATGTACTCCAGATGTTCGCAAATATGTACATTTTATTAAACATATGATACTGATACACGTTTGTGGTTAAAATGTCGTGGGAATTCTGCCTACAACGTGTAAAATAAGGAAAAAAGAAAAATCGTACCTTCGACGTTCCGACATTTTGTTACCGAATACTAGCGTTATCGAGTAGATCACCATTGTAAACTGGTCAATAGCATCATAGATATGCTGTTGAGACGATGAATTCCACTTCTTAACAATTCTGTCCTTAAGGGACTGAATAGATGTAGGGGGTTCATGGTTAACCAATTCTGTTAGTTTTACCCATACATATGGTAGTCGCAGATTTTGGCATTAGGAGCTAGGCAAATTCTCCTTAAAACATTTGACTGTCTTCTGAGATCTTTGGCGCGGAGCCTACTCTTGTAAAATGTTATGATCCGGAAATAAGCTCAAATCAAGGTGTTCCAAACCAAAAACAACAGAACTGGTGTAGGCTTACCATGAACATCCTTGGTCCAAGAGTATTTCAGTTTATTCCAGCTGAGACACTGATGCCTCCATGACTTTGTTCTGAGAAAAAGTGACGTCATTTGTATTATGGACGCTGGTTGACAGACAATATGATAACTTTAGACTTATTTTGTACCAAATTAAAGATAATTAAATTCCCCGTCCACTGGTATACAAAATGACATGTTTTCATTGCACAGAATTGGTCGAATAGCCGATAGATGTCATTCATTGATTAAACATGACGTCATATTTGAGATCTTAAGATAAATCTGACGTCATGACGTAAGTGCCATAGAAACTGAGATTGTCTTATTTTATTTTGACGTCATTCCAATGTAATGAACCAGTTATATCACCAAAAGTTATCATATTTTGTTTGAAATTGGCCGAAAAGTTAAAGGTATGAGGATTCTAATCTCAACGGAATCAAACAGATCTACCTTCAAAGTTACAGAAACCCGAGATGACTAAGATACCATATGATTTTAAGTACCTCTACCAGACCTCATTTCACCATTTTGACGCCATTTCTAATGGATTTCAATGGAGTCATGCATGAATTCCTCATGATTTTTTCAAAACAAATTGGCCGAAAAGTGTGCATGTGTACATTGCTTAAAACATGTTAAATCAGTAAAGGTTGATGTCTAGTTATAGAAACCTGAGATTACTAAGGTGGCAAATCAATATCATTCGCACAGTAAGCGTTCGAAAAATGTCTCCATTATAAATCCCATAGGCTTTGGAAAACCGGGAGTAATGGTTCTGCGCATGCGCAGTGAAATATTGGACAAATTTTGTGCAATGCATCTAATAAAATCAATATTTATTTCTGAATACGAATGTCCCGTTTTGTGGACCACCTTGTACATGTACATCAAAATGTCAAATGAAAGATGAAGTACTTATCCATCTGTCGTAAATACAAGGACATTAAACTCACCAGGTTATATGATAAACCGTTTCGAGAATTGATGATTTGAGTTAACTGTGGATATTTATAAAAAAGTAAGTCGGCATGTATTCGACAGTTAATGTACACACATGATGTATGCATCAACGTGTGACTTAAATATCAATTCGTGACTATCATATTTGGCTTTCAAAAATTAAGTTACAGTGGTAAGAGATTAACGAAAACGTCAAAACATCCAAATATCCGAACGACGTCAAGTATTAACAATACACTTTTCGTGCATCTCGAACAAGGCAAGGTTCTGTGATCCAGCGCGGAATACACATTGCTGGCAATGTGTGTTCCGACAGTTATCCAAGACGCTGATGGTTGATCATCACTTACGATCCCCGATGACGTGTCAGTCGAATCTGGTGTTTCAATTTTTGACTGGGCGTTTCCCTCTGTCTGATAATTCGTACATTTCGGGCCATACGGTGCGTTATGTCCCCTGACCGTGTTACCACAAGTGCTGCAACACCTTGGCTTAGCTCCTTGCGTTTCTATATCACTATTAGTATCCATTATACGGTTCTTCAAAAACTTCAAAAAGCTTTACTCAACTATGACTAAGTGTAAATCGAATGAATATACGCATGCGCTAATAATCAGTTATAGTAAGATAATAAAGATGTCGCTATGCTATTAAAAACTATTTACTTTGTAAATAATCAACAAATATCAACAAAGGACCTTATACACCCTCCATTGGGATCTCCCCATGGGAAAAAAATAATTCATCTGATTTTTCAAAATGAGTATTCTGCTTCAATTATTACATTTATATGCACACTAGTATCTTGTTGACCTATATTCAGCACTGTATTGATGTATAGGCCACTTATTAGGGTCATAATTCAATCATGAAGTGTAAAAGTGACCATTGTAATTCAAAAATTTGGAAAAATATGATTCCTGGTCCTTATAGAGCCATGTTTCTGAAAGTGCTATTACTGAAATGGTCTTGTCAATAGCAGAAATCATGTTTGTTAATTTCCATTGGTTTGCTGATAAACTGCGTATATTGCTATGTATAAGAGACATGTCTAATAAATTCTTGGCATTCAATGAGTTATTCAGTTCAGTCAGGGTAAGATAATCACATTTTGACATATAATCATAAGAAATATCATCATAACCTGGTGTATCCTCATCATCGCCTCTAATCTCAATTGGATTGAAAAGTTTGTTTTCAAATGTAATTATCATATTACCATTAGGAACCAACTCGATAAAATCATTATGGTCTCTGACACTGTAAAAGGGTAACTCAGTCCAAGGATGTGACAAAGAAACTGTATCATCCTCTATCAAATGTAAAGTTATGTGAATACACAGACAAGTCCCCACTGAAAACAATTATGGTAATGACAAGGTAAATCATTTGTCAAATTAAAGAAAGATGGCAGGTAAAGCAGGTAGTCACTGCTCTCACTGCTAAAAATGAATAATTTGAGTATCAAAAATATGTGTGTGACACAAAAACCCAAATACAGGGTGACCCAAAAAAAATGCAACCCTCCATTTCTTCAATATTTTTCTTAAATGGAGGTAAATTGCTCTGAGATTTGGCACACAAGAACTTCATTCAATGTGGGATCCTCTGGCAAAGTTTTAATAACGATAGTCTTATATTGATCGAGTTATGGTTGTTTCAAAATATGCTCCATATATCGTCAATTTCGCTGAAAACAAACTTGCAATGTTCAAGGAAAACTGTTCATAACACGGATGCATTCTTCCCCATGGGTATGGCTCAAATTTTTGCAGGAATGCTTGTTGGAGTTCTGCAATTGCAGTAGGGTTATTTTCATACACATTATCCTTTAAATAACCTCATATATAGAAGTCAGGGGCATTGAGATCAAGACTGTGGGATGGTCATGGGTTCTCCATCCTAGGAGAGATAATCTCATCATAGAAATGACTAGTGAGCCAGGCTATGCTATCATAAGAAGTGTGAGGAGTAGCCCCATCCTTCTAGAATCGCTGTTCTTGTCTATTGAAGCCTGTATGTCATTCTAGAACTGCCTAGAACTTCCTGGGAATGCCAATATTGCGCTGTGTGTTAACAGTAACAGTGTTGCCATTATCAACCTCAAACCAAAAGGGGCTGATGATTTCATGTTTGGAAATTGGCAGCCCAAGCTGTGCATTTAACAGAATGAAGGGGCCTTTGAAGCACTTCATCTTGAATTTGTGATCCCAGAACACATTATTTCTTGAGTTTACATGTTCAGAAAGAAGGGAATGTGATTCTTCCGAAAACCTAACATTGGAAATGGACGACATTTTGAGCATATTTTGGAACGACCATAACTCTATCAATATAAGACTCTGATTATTGAAACTTTGCCAGAGGATCCCACATTGAATGAAGTCCGTGTGTGCCAAATTTCAGAGCAATTCACCTCCATTTAAGAAAAATATTGAAGAAATGGAGGGTTGCATTTTTTTTGGGTCACCCTGTATGTGTATAATACCATTACATTATAGAATAAGTTGGGTTTAGTAAAGTGTAAAGTCATTGAGTCATATTAATTAGTATACACAAACTCTTCATGTTGACATCAAGTAAATCACTTAGATTTTAATTCTCATTTTACAACATACTTATGATACTTTCTGAATGATCATATGTCCAATAACTGGAAATAAGTCCACTCAAAACTATTGTTAAACTATTTCCAATATTTAAATATGTGAAATCAAAGTCAGATTAATTCTCAAAATTCATGCAATCAAGTTGATAATATAAAAAACAAAACAAATAAGCATGATCAGCCAGCGAAGCCAACTCAGTATAAAGATAAAACTCAGTAATCGTAATCAATGCATCATGGTATTCACTCAAAGTTTGCCAATATAGAAAGTATACACTCCAAACATGAAATGATCTCAATGCAAAAAACTGTCAAAAAATGTCAGTGTACTCTTTGCAAAATAGAATAGATCAGGTCAAATGTAAAAATGGAGGTAATCACTGCTCTCACTGCTCCTAAAAATAAATATGAAGAGTATCGAAATATTTGCAAATGACACTAGAACCCAGGAAATCATAATACCATTGTGTTATCAACTTGAATGCGTTTTGAGAAAAGGGGAAATGTAAAGTCATGATAATCATAGTCATAATACATACACAAACTCTGCATGTAGAAGTTGAACAAAATACTCACTTTATCTTATGCTGGTACAACATACATATTATATAATACTCTCTGAAATGTCATATGTTCAGTTGACAGGAATAAGGCAGTTAAAACAAAACAAAAAACTAATTACAAAAAAATTGAACCTGTAAAGTCATGGGTAAAACAACATTGCAGAACATTCCAACCCATATACTGAATTGTCATAGGTTCAACTAATAAAATAAGTTCAGTCAAATAAACTATTTACAACATTTAAATTTCTGTGAATTCATGAACAAGACCATTCTCGAAACTGCAGAATGTTGAAAGTACTTTTCTCAATATTCAGTACTCATTATAATACTAAAGTGGCTTTGAATGACCAGATAGGGCAAGGTTCATTATAGCACAAAAACAATTCTGCCAAGAGTACAACAGCATACTGTGAACCTACTTTTCAAAAAAACTCATTGATCATATTATTGCATCCTTTCAGAGCAATGAGTAACAACAAACTTGGTATGAGTTGCATGCTCAATGACCTATCAATACTTAAATAATATGATTAGTCAAGTCAGACTTAATTTCAAACATTAGGCCTTTGAGTTCATAGTTTAAGAACTTTGGAAACAGTGTCATTAAGAACTATGAGCAATATTTTCAACTCATTTTAAGATAATCAGTGTATTCTTGGCTATAAAAGGTCAGTTATAATGTCAAAATTTGACTGATTATAAGTAAATGAATGAACACTCATATAATATAGATATATATATATATATTCACATTATATTATGCTATAGACCTACCTTGCAAGATAAGATAAACTCACATCTAAAGTAAGAAATTATGCTATTCAGGCTTTCAAAGCATAAAATTTATGATAATGTACTTAATCTCAAATATGCTTTAGGAAGCATGGTTAATGATGTTAATACTATACCTGTTTTGCAAGAGAGATCTAGCAGCATGATATTAGTTATGCTTTTCGACTGATGTTTAAACATACAAATACAAATATATACAGTGTGACGCATAGCGTTTAAAATGTTTACCAGATCCTTACAGATCAAATGTTGGGGGGACAACTGAATGCTTTTCAATTGAATTATGAATACTTAAAATGCTTGAGAACATTGGAACATGTCTTAGTTATCCCAGCTATGTCTTCTGGACTGAGGCGTTCGCGCCATTTATCCATAGTGTAAGATGCATTTTTGCATAAGGCAAATGGTTGACTGTCTGACAAAGTTTGTGTCATATTCGGACAATTAGTATTCAAATTCAACCAGTCAAGCATCTCTGGTTGTGACTCTCTATCCAGAAATTCGTCAATTTTTTCTATTGTGTTCTTTGGGTCGTTAACAACATCCTCGTATCTCACCTGGAAAATAACATTATTTCTTATTTCCTTAATTACAGTTTTATGAATATCATCACTGGGTGGCGATAATAACTAGATGTTGGCAAAAATCTAATTACCAACGTCGTATGCCAGCATAGAATTAATAATCAACATAGTATGACAATTAATTACAAACGTGGTGTGACATTGTAGAGTACACTGCCATATTGTTACATAACAATTTGCTTTGTTGCAACCGTGAAACTGCATGTACATTTGATTGTCATGCAGTTAACGTATTTGTATAAGTCTTAAAGATGTTTTGCATTGTTAAAATCATACCCCATGGTAGTAAGAAGTAATTCCCTAATGACTAGAAAATGTGAAAATCATAAAGCATTAGACATAATCTGAAGATGAACAGAAACGAAAAAAGGAAAAACAATCAACAAACAAATTGATTCACCTGTAGTATCCTCCTAGCAATATGCAGAGGTTGTCTTGAAGCAACTAGAATGTCGTTCCAAATCAGTCTACAGAGTAAATCAGACGACTCTACAAGGGTCATTCTATCCTCAAATGCAAAAGATGTTACAGTGTCGACCCTGGAATTCTGAATACCTCGAGGGTCCCTGATATAATGTATCACTTTAATGTCGGAATATCTTTCCAAGAGCGTTACAGCAGTCTTCATGTTCATGCGAATCAATTTATAAACTCTTTGATTAGATTCTGAGCAATTTTTTCTCAAATCGTCAGTGCATCTTAACAAACGATTCCATTTGAGCTTCACCTTTGAGTTATATGTGTTGAAATGTTGCATTATAGTTGTTCTGTTCTTGTTGCCTTGGTGTAGTGAAATATCGTCATAGACGTCTGGGTTAACACACTCTGGAGGAATATCATTCATATAGGTAGGCCTATCACAATGACTATAGGTAATGTTGGGCCATTTTTTGAGGCCATTCTGTTTTATGCATTGTTTGTATGACACTGAATGAATTGCGGGTAGTGGACCGTCACTTTTAAAGTTCTCAATATGGACAGAGTTGTAGTCGCAGTTAAACATTTTGTTAAGTGTCTCCGCTATATAGTTCACTTCGTAATCAGGCGCATCACTGCCAAAAAACAACAAAAACACATAAACTCAAATGAGCCATACAAGAAATAAGGTAAATACGGAAAACGATATCTAAGTTGCAGAATTTAGGAATGTTTTCAATGATATTAGGTGTATTTCTCAGTTTTGTTGAGTAAAAGACGAAGGAACAATTCACCCAAAATAAAGTGGATATTCTTGTCAATGCCAATGTCGCCTACCGTATCGTTCCATTAGCGAAGGCTCTAATGCTCCATGGCGGCACAGTCACACCCCCATACATATGAGCATAGACTCCAACAAGCGGCTCGAACAGATATTGGGTTTTAGGGTATGTATGGAGTAGCTCTCCAAAGAAAGATGTCCCCCCTCTTTTATA